TGCTCCGGCTCCGGAACGTACTGACCGTGGGTCGATTCTTGACTCATTCTAAAATAATAAGGAAATTCTCACGTCGGATCTTAACACATAACAGATAAAGCTATAAATACTTATTACCTTCCCGGGGTAGAGGAGTTACGTGAGATGCAGATGCGGCTGAATTATTCATTGTATTTTTTTTTTGAAAGGGTCCAAAGACCGATTTTAAAACCAAATGCTCCGATACCAAAATGTAACACCCCAACCCGCATGACCCAAACCCGTGAGACAGCGGACCGGTGTGTCACTGAATTGGTACCCGAATTTGCGACATTTTCAAAACAATTTTAAACAAACGTTCTATCAATACATATAAAAATTCATCGGAGTAATTTAAAATAATGGGGAAGCCTTTTTAAAGTCAAACAACTTGGGATCTTGCCCGAAAACGTAATAAGCATTAAAGTTAATTAAATAAAGCATAATCAACATATTAAAGAGACAGCCACGCCATCGTACATCTCCTCCTCAATGCCCTCTGGGATCGGCTCTAGGTTCATCTGTCTGTTCACCTACGGACAGCAAAAAGGAAAACAACGCTATCCGCTCAGCATTGACGCTGAGTGGTACTCCATTGTAGCACAAGAATAAACATAATAATTCAATAATTAAGATCGTGCATAAGTTTATCCTTTTAATAAAAATCAATTCAACTTTACATTCGGTTCTTTAGACGGTTGACCAACAGTCAACTTATTTTCTTTCTTCTCAAAACCATTTAGGTGTTACGGGTTTCTCATGAACTCTTTGACCACCGGTCAAACCAATTTAGACTTTCACCAAAGTCAAACCACTTAACATTTATTGCCTATGACGAAGATAGCCTCAATCCGTAATACCGAAGATGGCCTCAATTCGGTGGAGGTAGGATCCCTCGGGCGATGGCCTCAAACCCAAGATCGCAGACCCTCGTGCGCACGTCTTACCCTCACTGACCAGGCCCTGCAGCCGCCCGAGCGATGGCCAGTTTCTATGTTCAACACAATAAACCAATTGACCTTATTCACCAATTAGAATTAATTAATTAACTTAACTAATTCATTAAAGTCTTGGATTTAACCATTCGGTTAAACCTACGTCGACAGAATATCCAGTCAAAGTCTAAGTCAAACATGACCTAACCCAAGTCAAAGTCAAACCTGTTCAGTCAATTCACAATCGTCAACAATTTAATTCAAACAATCAATTTAATTCAATTAACCAATTTAGCCAAATTATAGCATAAACACATATAACGATCCAAACCATTAAATCTATTCTAAATGCTATTAACTTCATAGTACGGACCTGGATTACGTCGAAATCGAATCGATCGCTCGAACGGAAGACAAATCAACGAAATCAACCGAACGGGTCAAATCGAGTCAAAATACGAAATCGACCAATCAATCCGGCGTGGGGGTTAATCTGCCGGCGATATCAACTCGGGGCAGCGGCCGGATGCGGCGACGGTGACGGACGCCGGCGACAGTGGCGGAGCGGCAGTTCGACGGCGATGAGCAGCGACTGGCGGCGCTGCAATCGACGGTGGCGGATGGCCGCTGTGCAAAGGGCGACGGCGGCGCTCGTTTCCGGCGAAGGATGGGCAGCGACTGGCTTCCGACGACGGCGGCTGGAGGTTCGGGCGTCGGTGGCTGGAGGCTCGGGCGACGCTGCAACTCGGCGGCGCTCGTTTCCGGCGAGGGCGAAATAGCGGCGTCCGGCGCAGGCTCACGGCGGGGAGCGACGGCGGCTGGAGGCGAAGGAGAGGCAGCGGTGGTGCGGTGAGGAGGCGGAGGTCGATCGGCGGCTTGCTCACAGCGGCGACGATCGGGGAAGAAGAAGAAGAAGAAATCGAAGAAGAAGAAAGAAGAAAGAAAAAGAAGAAGAAAGAAAAAGAAGAAGAAGGAAGAAAAAGGAACGAACGGACGAAAGATAAGGTTTGTGTGGTTATGTTTAGGTTTATTTAATGGTCCCATTCCAAAAAGGATTGGGATTCAGACCCAAAATACCTGATTAAATGGTCATAACTTGAGCTCTGTAACTCCGATTCGCGAGCCGTCTGAACCGACGCGATCACAAAAATATTTCCTACGAGATGACATAAAAGTTGGGCTTAAAATCCAAATTATAATTTTAACCCTTTAGTGGGCCCAATCCGTAATCAATTGCTCTAACAATTTAATTAATTCTTTTGGGCCAGATTTCATGGCGTTATATATATATATATAGACACACACACACACACACACACACATATATATATAGATTTTGGTTCAAATGAGAGTGCGATCTTATGAAAGAAATAAGAATGAATCTGGTGTTTTAGATTGTGAAATCTAAGGGTGAGGATTGCATCAAAATTAGGTGCACCAAAATGATTTGAAAATGCATCATGTTGAAATGCAGCAAAATCCTTTAAAACTGCACTATCTCAAAATCTGAGTGCAGGATGCAATCTGAGCCGCACGATGCATCAGATCCAAAGGTTAGATTTCATTCTTATTTATTTCACCAAGGTGTATTCTCACCTGAACCGCCCCCTATATATATATATATATATATATATATATATATATATATATATATATATATATATATATATATATATATATATATATATATATATATATATATATATATATATATATATATATATATATATATATATATATATATATATATATATATATATAGCCTCCGAAACCTGACCATTGATGGAAAGGTAATTATCACTAGCCAAAATACATACGTTAAAATGGATTCGATTTACCTAGAGACGAGAACGTACTCGCCAATACTACAGTCTGCTGATGATATGAGGTATTGAGACTCATGAGGAGTTAGATTTGCTGTCCTGAAACACGTTCAAATTTTGATATGAAAAGTCAAAATGGCTAATGCCCTAAGATAACGACCCCTTGAGTAACTGCCAAAGAGTGAAACATCGAAGGGTGAAAACCTACGATTAGTAATGATAATTCGAAAATGCTATCTTTGTATCTTGTGAGTCATATCATTTAGATACTCAAACTTTCTGTGTTAATTACACACTTGAAACATTCCACTTGATCAATCTTGAAAGATTGAATTCCATTGCTTATACCAAACCATTGAACTATGGAAAACTTGTGTTGACTTACGATTCTCCATTAAACTCAAAAAGATGCATCGCAATACTGATCTTCGAAAACTTTACTCCGTGAACTACGTGACTCGATCATAATGATGAAAGTACCCTTACTTGAACATTGTGATGAATCTCTCTTTGTAAATGTGATTACATTATCTCCGAGGATCATTATCGATAATCTTAAATGATCGACAAACTCTGTTCTGACTACCTAAAGAAGAAATGATGTAACAAGAACCAAACTAAATCATTCAAGTAAAAATCCTGAACCCATATGCAATATTGGTGTAATAACTAGTAAGATTCCTTACTCTATGAATTCATGAATTGAGTCACGTACTGAATAGATTCTCTTCTTCCCTCGAAAACGAAATCAACCATAGTGTTATAGTCAAACCTGTCACTATTATAAACATATCTTGATATATTTCCAAGATCAATGAAAGAAGGTTCAATACGACAAGGCGTATATGAAACGCTACTCGAACGTCATCACCTATGAATACGAATTAATGCAAAGACTTATTAATGATGATGAGAGCTACCATGAAGTGAACGAAGAAATGTTTCGATGTAAAATCAATGATGACAAGCTACTGTACAATCAATCGACATCACTTCCTCATAAATGATGAAAAACTGCTTATCCTTAAAATCGTGAACCAAGGAAAGCCATTTGATGTTACTTATGAATCATTGCTGAACTATGTGAACAATGTGAAGATGTCTTGAGTGACTTGGAAGGTTACGCTATGACGTATGGATTGAAACAAACTCTAAATCCCCAACTATATATACCTTTCATGAATGTGATGATTTGAAACGGCAAATGCTACTCAAAGACCTTCAATCAAAGGGGGAATATCGTTAATCGACGTTGTATAATTGGGAATTGTGTTATGTCCAAGTATATCAAATATACAACCTTATACACTGCAAAAGAAACTTAGTTGTTGATACTGAGGATCACTGAATGACTTGCTTAATCAAATATTGTTAATCTCTTGAAGAAAGAACGAGTTTGTTAACATTGACAGTTTTAGAATACGTATCCGTGTGGATGATGACGTAATTATGGTTTAACCGAATGAACATGACATGGTCATGATTAAGTGTGATCTTAACAAAATGTTGAACGTTGAGCCTTAGAAGAATTTCGAGGACAAAATTCCTTTAAGGGGGGGGGGGAATGTAATGCCCCAAAACATACCCAAAAATTATTAATGAACAATTATACAATTAATCAAATTTTTTTGATTAAAATCAAATATTGTTGGGCTTTGGGACAAAATAATATGTGTTTTGATATCCAATATTACAATCTAGATAAATCTCATAGAGATAAATTCAATATGTTGATTATTTGTGTGATCTTGATTGAGAACCTGAGTACAGACCTAAATTAAGATTAAATGAAATTTTTTTTTATGATCTAAACCTTGAAATGATTTATTGAAATAAATCATGAGAATAAATAATATGAATTGGATGAGAGAACCTTTTTGAATAAAGGTCTGCTAAATCAATTTTGACTCTGTTAAAGTCAAACTCCTAAAATAGGATGTCGGAAAAAGTATTACAAATAAACATAAAAATTATGTCATTTGATAGATTTTAATTACCCGATCCCAACGGTGCAAACAGAATTCAATTAGGAGAAAGTTGGACCAAAAAGTGTGCCTCAAATGGGACAAAAAATTAGTCCCAATCAGGGACTACACACCAAACAGTGCCCTGTGCAATCACTGCTGATTCCAAAATTTCCAAAGTTATCATGAACCAGCTACTCCTTTGGCTCCTTCTCCTTTCCTCCATTATAAAAGGACACTCCAAGCTCCAATCTTCATCATTCTTCTCCATTCTTCTTCCTAAATGTTCCTGAGAGTGTGATAAGTGTTGTAGTGCTGCCATTTTAGTGTGAAATCACCGGAGCTAGCCACAAACCTCACCAAAAGTTTCACCGAAAATTTTCCAAAACCTCCAATAAGCTTCGAGGTAAACATGTAGATATATTTAATGACGAGAATGTTCATATAGGTCGTTTCTACGTTTATAAATGGTCATATGGTTGAGTATTGTGTTTGACATGCTTGAAGAACTAAGAATCATAAACCTTGAATTTGATGTTAAAACTATGAACTAATAATACCAAAATGATCTATGAACCTTGGAGAACATTTCTATATAGTTTAATTGGAGTTTGGTAACTAAAAATGGTATTTTCGAAATTGGACCCGAACCAAAGAAGAAGATAAACCATGATCGAAAACTAGAATGGTTGATCGATCCACCCCACTAGATTGATCACTTGGGGATGTTTCTCTACGGTGGATTGATCCTAGGTACCAAATCGATCCCCCGACCTGTTTGCTCCAAAAATACTTCTAAAAATGTTATTTTTGAGCTATAAAATCCTATTTTTGATACCAATTAAATATGAACAATATAAAGATGATTTTTCATAATAAAAATGATGTTTTTTTGCAAATACAAACCTTATGTGCTGCATGACGGTAAGTTAGGGTGTTAACACTCAAAACTAGGCCGTTATTTGCTTTTGGATCATATGTTTATTGATGATTATGATGAATGATTAATATGGATTATTATGAATGATGAACCTACTGAGTAAAATGATTGTTAATGATTAAATCATGACTAAAAATGGATATATTAGTAATCACGAAGATGATGTGTATTGTTAAGGATATCTAGAAGAACTCTAAGATATATCCAATTGGAAATTGATGATGATTATTAAAGGATATCTAGAAGAACTCTAAGATATACCTCCTTGAGACCTTGACCAGTTCATGATTCGGGGTTAAAACGAACGTACGGGATC